GCCAGCGGAGTGACGTCATACGTGGCCTGAGATTAGACCTCGCCATGCCTGGGGGGCTGCGAATTGTGAATCACTCGCCACTTCCGAGGGCTGCTGGGGAGGCCAGCGGAGTGACGTCATACGCGGACTCGGCTAAGGCCTCGCCATCCCTGGGGGGCTGGGAACTGCGAAACGGTCGACACTTTCGAGGGTTGTCAAGAGCCCAGCGGAGGTACGTCATACGCAGACTCTGGTCAGACCTCGCCATCCTTGCGGGGCTGCGAAGTGTGAAACTGTCGCCAGTTTCGAGGGCTGCTTGGCGGACCAGCGAAATGACGTCTTAGTATCGCAATCATTGGAGGCTGCGAACTGCCAAGCTGTCCGCCACTTGTGAGGACTGCTGAGGGGGCCAGCTAAGCACGGTGCTGTGCTGATCAGAGCGGGACCTTGCCATCTCTGGGGGGTTGCGCGGCCTGCGAAATTGCCGCCACATTTGTGGACTCCTCTAGAGGCTTGTTCAGCGCGGTGCTACGCAGATCAGAGCTGGACCTTGCCATCCTTGCTGGGCCTCCCTCGTTGTCCTTGGTGGCCGTCCCATGAGTCGAGCAACGCGCGCGCATGTTAGGTAGCTTGCGCAACGAAGGACGGTTTCCGCGCTATCAGCATCCGTACCATTTTGGGCCAGCTCCTTGAGCCATTGGATGCACATTGGCTGGGTACGTCTAGAACGGTAATGTCGATCCCGGCGCTTCTTCCTCGATCCCGGTCCCTGGGGCTGGTCTCCCTCTTCTCGGGAAAAATGGAGGAGGAGGACGAGGAGGAGGAGGACGAGGAGGAGGAGGAGGAGGAGGAGGAGGAGGAGGAGGAAAAGGTATGGAGGATAGCGCAGAGGAGTGGAGAGGAGGAGGGGGATTGGGAAGAGGAGCAAGGCGAGCTGGAAGAGGAGGGCGAGCGGGAGAAGGAAGCAGCAGCAGGAACATGAGGATTGCGGGCGAATGGAGAGGGAGTAGCGCGAGGAGGGAGGAGGGGAGGGGGGGAGGGCGATGACGATGCACAGTTAGGAGGATGAGGAGGAGGTAGGAGAATGAGGAGGAGGAGGAGGAAGAGGAGGAGGAGGAAGAGGAGGAGGGGGATGGAGAGGAGGCTGAGGAGGACCAAGAGGAGTGGAGAATGGTCGCACGGAAAGATCACAAAACACCCGAGCAGGCGGAACGCATGCACCACACGACCGAACACCGAGCTTTTCTCCTCGATCTGTTTGGAGGAGCAACGGAGGTACCGAAGAAGCCGGGCGTCCTGGTGAACATGTTTCTTTTTTGGGGGGGGACATCGCCGCCGGAAAACTCTCAGAACGGAAGAGGCGGGAGGGCCACTGACAACGGCCAGGGGAGCCCACCAACAACGGCCAGGGGCCCCACTGACAGCGGCCAGGAGGGGCCGTTGACAGCGGCCAGGGGGGGGGGGGTCACGGATGACGGCCAGGGGGTCCCTCTGACAGCGCCAGGAGGGGTTTTGACTGACAACGGCCAGGGGGGCCACGGACAATGGCCCCGGGCCCCACTGACCACGGCCCGGTTCTCCGTCGATATAGTCGGTCGTCAGTCGAGTCGTCAGTCGAGTTGTCAGTCGGTTGTCAGTCGAGTTGTCAGTCGGTTGTCAATTGGCAGTCGGTCGAGTTGTCAGTCAGTTATCGGTCGATTGTCGGCTGGTTGTGAGTCGGCTGTCAGTCGGTTGTCAGTCGAGTTGTCGGTCGGTTGTCGGTGGGTTGTCGGTGGGTTGTCAGTCCAGGCCTTTCCTCCCTGTCTCGCCAACTCCAAAACCATGCACGGTTTTGGTTGTCTGCGAGACAGGGGGGCGACGGGCCCCCCAGCGGGGCCCGGCTGACAACAGCCAGGGGGGTCATCACTGACAGCGGCCAGGGGCCCCACTGACAGCGGCCATGGGGGGACACTGACAACGGCCAGGGGTGTGGACTGACAACAGCCAGGGGGGGGCCACTGACAACTGCCAGGGGAATGCTGACAACGGCCACGGGGCTGAACTGACAGCGCCGTTGGGCGGGCCTCTGGCCGTTTTCATTGGCCCCCATGGCCTTCGTCAGTGGCCACCGTGGCCGCTGTCTGTGGCCCCCTGGCCCCCTCTGGCCGGTTATCAGTCCCCCTCCCCTGCCGTTGTCAGTGGTCCCCCTGGCCGTTGTCAGTGACCCGCACTGGCCGTTGTCTGACCTCCCTGGCTGTTATCAGTGGCACCCCTGGCCGTTGTCAGTGGTCCCCCCTGGGCGTTGTCAGTCCCCCCCCTGGCGTTGTCAGTGGGCTTCCCTTTTCGTATGTTTTCATGTTATCCGCAGGCTGGCCAGAACATGTCAAACGATACACACAGGAAGTAAGAGGAGGAGGAGGAGCAGGAGGGGGAGGAGGAGGAGGAGGAGGAGGAGGAGGAGGAGGAGGAGGAGGAGGAGGAGGAGGAGGAGGAGGAGGAGGAGGAGGAGGAGGAGGAGGAGGAGGAGGAGGATATAGTGTGATATAGCGGTTTGCCGACGGAGGCGAGCATCTCGACACCGCCTTGCAAGAAGACCCACTTTCAGTCCCTCCCATGTCCCCCCCCCAGCCCGCCTCGCGACCAACCCGCGACATGCCTTGAGGGTTGCCGGGCGGGCAAACCGATTGGTTCGAGGATTTGGGGAAAGTTGTGCAGGAAAATGGTTTCCTGGGTTTCCTTGGACTGCTTCGAAGATGTGCTTAACATTGGTTTGGATTTCGTGCTTCGTTTTGGGGGCATCGGGATCCATCGTTGCACCGCGGGCGCAAGCCTGTGCAATTTTCCCCAAACCCTTTCACCAATCGGCCGCCTCCTACTTTGATGCTCACGACTGTATGCTTGAAGACTCGGACTTTGGATCCGCCCCTTCCCCAATGGTTGCCACCGTAGCCTTGGGTAGGGCACGGGGCAGTAGGCGCGACAGACTGGCGCTTCCGATTCGGGGGGTCAAACCCGTAGCGAAAGCTGAAAATATGTTACGAGCTGTTGGCGACCATGGTTGTCGACGCGTTGGGGGGTCGGATCTTGGCCCCGCTCCCCGCTGTAGGAGTCCATGGGGCGACAGGGGGTGACTTCGACCCAAGGTGCATCCAGGTGCCAAGCGCGACAAACAACAACTATCGTGCCCAACAGCATGACCCCGTGAGTAATCATTTAGCGCTGCAAGCATGAAAACACCAACAACATGACATGCCCTTAGAGGCCAAGCAGTGTTGCATTGATTCATGCCACCACTGCTGCGGCCACCGAGTAAGAGAACATGGGGGTCGAGGGGGTTTGGGGGGGCATGGAGGAGGAGAGGGGGGGAACATGTGTGAAGTTACGAAAGCACACAGGCAAGCAATAGGCAGGACGGGGGGAAAGAAGGGTGAGAAATGGAGGGGAACCGACACGAGTCCCGCATGTGAGCATGGGGGGTGGGAAAACAGTACGAGCCCTGAGGGTGAAAAAGGGAGGGGGAGGAGAGGGGCTGATATAAGGAAGGGGTAACAGTTTGGTTTGGCGTTCGTCTGGTGGCGTCTGCCTGTGTCTGTCTGCGCGGTCCGTCCATTGCCATTTTATGTTCGACGGGGCCCTTGTGCCCTCGGCGGCCAGCGGGCCCCGCGCGTCCTCTCTGCGCAGGGCCCGCGACGCGCTGTGCGCGTCGAGACGCCTCCCAGCAGCATGGCCGCATGAGCGATGAGGGAGGAGGCGAAGACGGCTGGGGTGGTCGATTCGAGATTGCGTTTCCTAGTGATGCAGAGCCCGTGGACCCCGACGCCCCGCCAGCCCCAGATGCAGATAGCAGTTCAATCGTGCCAGCCCCAGGCCATGATGCAGATAGCAGTTCAATCGTGCCAGCATTTGCAGCCAGTGGCATTCCAGGCGCGATCCAGCTGACACGGTACCCGCAGCTCCTGACATATATATATATATATATATATATATATATATATATATATATTCAGAGCGGTGTTGGCTGCCCCTGATGACGGTGATGACGAGTTTCGTGTGTACGAGGCACTGGGTCCGCGGAGAGAGATCATGACGCATACTTCTTTGCGCAAGGAACTTGGAGTTGCCCCGAAGGCGTCCGTTTCAACGAAACGATTGCGCCTGGCAGGGATGGCTTTGCTGCTGGACCGATGGCTTCGGTGCGGGCTAGATCATGCCATTGCCACCAAGCCATATATCGAATTGATTGTGTATGTAGACTTTGAGGCGTATGGTGAGACGCCGCTGGCGACGAATCAGACAATTGGCAGTGGCATCGTGGCGGACGCTGTGACGGGTATTGTTATGCGTTCTCTTGAAATTGATCCTGGTCGTGGGCTCAACCAAATCAAAGATACTCAGACAACGAAATGGTTCCAGACGACGACGTGGTCGTCCATGCTCGTCCGTGTCGGCGCCAACCATTTGCTGATCAAACTTGATACCATGTGCGCCCTCACAAGCCTCCAGAGCACGAGGGCTGGCACAGACATGCAGGCGCTAAAGCAAAGTCGAACCACACCAGGGCAGTTCGCGAACTTCAAACACCAAGCCAGGGCAGCTGTCACGGATGTTGCTGGTTCAACTATGGTTGTTGAATCACAGCGGGCGCGAGGTAATGTCATAAGTTTACATAGCCTATGTCATGTTCACAGTGCTTCCACGTGTCACAAGCGGGCGCTCGGCATCGTCGATTTCACATATGCCATCCGTTTCGCACTCTCGTGTGAGGCGTCTGGGGCCATGCACGATCTGAGAACGTCAACCATATCTGTTCTGAGTCGAGAGCGCGTTGTCCGACGCGGGCAGCCTTCTGACGATGCGGCCGCCTTTCGCAGCGCAGTCATGGGCCAGTACTTGGACACCGCCCGCCAGTCAAAGTTGAGACGAGCTACGCTGGCCGCAGCGCTGCGATGTGATTGGCGCAACCACGAACGCGTCGAAGTGTTAATAGGCTGGGGGCAGAGCCCGGCGTGAGCACTATCACAGAGCACCTCTCTTGGGGAATCATGTTCGCAGGCTCCGCGCCCCCCTCCCCCCCCCCCAGAGTGCTCAACGGGAAGAGCTGGACTGGCATGTCGGAGGCGTTGGCGGACATCTGCTTCCTCGAGCAGGTCCAATGCATTGCTGCGAAGGCACGCGTTGCTTGGATGGCCCGCCGAGGCGAACTCTCAGATGACCAGAGGAGAAGGATGGCGTCGACATCAGCTGCATCATGCAGATGCCCTGACAACAAGCAGCGACAGCAGCAGTTGGCCAGCATCGGTGAGGTGGGCGTCGGTGACGAGACTGGGCAACCGTCGCCGTCCGACAGCGCCGATGGCGACCGCGCCCAGACCAAAGCTTACTGGAAAGCTGCAACGGACCTCTTCGTTGAGCGGCACGTCGACGCCCTGCCAATGCTGCAGGTGGTCACGGTGAAGTTGCAGAAGTTGCTGGGGCGCCACATCGACATGAGCGGAGTGATTTGGGAGAGCCGTCAGCGAGTTCGAGCCTTTCGGGGTGGCGTTGCGCAGGAGTTCGACGTTGCTCGACCGCTTGCTCGGGAGTGCCCGCTAGTGAATGCAGCGCTGAGCAAACTTGAGAGTCGTTTCGGTGGCGAATGTGAGCTTTTGATGTCTTCAGATGAGCCCTGGGCAAGTTTGCATCCGCAAGTTTACATTCAGTTTTTTTCGGCGCGTTGGCGTTCAGGCTGGTTCTGCGGAGCAAGGCCATAGCGCGCGACATTTTGACCGCTATGCACGGCACATTCCCATGCTAGCTGTTTGAGATGTTGAGTGATCCTCCGAGGTTTGCGCCGTCTGTCGCAGAGGCCGCTGCCGAAGCCTGCTCATTGGATGAGTTCAGCGCTTGGTTTCTGGAACAGCACCCCAACGAGGCCGCCCTCCAGAGCCCAGAGTCGCTTCTGACGCTCTTCGCGATAGCCAGGGGCGCGAGGATCGACATCGAGAGGGAGTAGCTCAGCAACGGCGTCGCTTGGTTGCAGCGTCGCACCAGACGGTTAGACATAACGTGGTTGATGTGAACGTGGGCTGGATACTGGGGTCAGCGAGGCTCAAGCGGGGCGAGAGCAGAGCCATGGCTGGATGAGTGTATGTCAACGAGATGTCGCGTGGCACGGTGGCGAAGCAGCCAGAATCGCACGGAGATGGGAGGGCGGCTGCCGCAGGCCCAGCTGCGGCGAGTTCAAGGACTTTGGCGCGATCGCCAGGGCGCGCAAAGACTTGTCGCCGCAGCAGTTGGTGGACCTGCAGCGCGAGGCAGACGAGCAGCTCCAGCAGGGGCCTCAGACGAATTCGAAAGCTCGGGCACGAGCAGCGAAGCAGATGGACCGGCGGCGGCAACTCGCAGAAGCCGAATTTGGCCAGCAGCAGGGCTCAGCCGTCGAGGACACCGATGCGATCGGCGATCGTATTCGCGGAGGGCCCCATCCCGCGAGGTTGCGAAGCAGAGCGTAGACATCGTGAAGCAGAGGTGCTCCGCCGAGGCGGCGGCCCAGAAGAAGCAGGACACTGCCGATGCCGTGCTACTTCAGGGCTTCCAGCGTGCTCAGCGACGTGCAGTCCATGGTGCGATGGGCATGGCGCTGCCCTTCGAGACCAACGTGTTCTCCGAAGGACTCCCTACGGGTGTGAAATATCGCCGGCTTCGCCGCCCTTCCGAATGCAGCCGTCGCCCCGCCTGTGAACGTTGCTCTGGCCCCCTCGGCTTGGATTGGCATATCGGGGGACCCGGCCCCGAGCGGGCCAGCGTGGGCGCGCTTGGCGAGACGGGGGTCGGGTGACATCGACGACGGTTGCGGCGGCGACGAGGGAGAGAGAGGGCACGTGAGAGAGAGAGAGAGAGAGAGAGAGAGAGAGAGAGAGAGAGAGGGAGAGGGGGGGGACAGGGTGGCACATATATATATATATGTATATATATACAGAGAGAGAGAAGAGAGAGAGAGAGAGAGAGAGAAGAGAGAGGAGAGAGAGAGAGAGAGAGAGAGAGAGAGAGAGAGAGAGAGAGAGAGAGAGAGAGCGAGAGACAGCAGCAGGGAGACCGGCGCGACGATGGGACGCGGGCGCGTGCGTGCGTGTGGGCACGGGGGGGGGGGGGCGATAGGAAGCGGGAGGGAGGTGCGGCGCGTGGCGCCCGAAGCCAACCTAGCACCCTGACCCGGGCCCCGACGACTCAACCCTATCACCCTAACCCGTGCACTAACCCCATGTTCCCAACGCCCTAGCCCTAATGGAGGCAGGCCCCGGCCACCTTGACGCGCACCCTAACTCAACGCAGTGTCCCTGGCACCCAAGCCCCCGCGACCCGATGCTAGCACCTTAAACCTTACACAGTGTCCCTGCGCCATATCCCCAACACCCTGATCCTAACATCTTTCCCTTAACCTCACCACCTTAACCCGAATGACCTAGCCTCAGCCGGCACGCCTTATCGGGAGCCAGCGCTGATGTGAACGATAACGGAACGCTGATCAATGTGCGACGTGAGCATAAACCAGATACGGCATCGTGGAAGCAGCAGCGCAGCGAGCACTGGCGAAACCCTCCAGCTGTTTCCAGTGGGTCGCGCGTCATACAGTCGAGTTTGGGCGCGATCGGGCCCGAGCGCGCCCGCGGCGCCCGGAGCGACGCCGAAGTGGGGGGCAACGAACGGGAAACCGAGTGACAGGCAGACCGCGGCCCGAGTGGGCCACCGTAGAGTCGAAGCATGGCGGGATTGTGTCTGGCTGTAGGAGGGCGGGAGGGGGGGCAGTGCGGGGCCAGAATGCAGACCAGCTAGGGCCTTATGCAGATGGGGCAGGTTCTGACTGAATCCGTTGCGCAGCCGCGCGCGCGAACATTCGTTGATGCTGCTGTGGCACAAAGCGCTGCGGGGTGTCTTGGCCCCACTTGCATTTGGCAACTTCTGTGTTTCCGCGTGCCACCGCACGTGCCCACCGCATCCACTTGGGCACGCTCATCGCACGCTTCGTGGCCCCACATGGAGCTCCACCGACGGCCCCATCGCCTGCGTCCGCATGCGCCCGCCGCGCTCATTTTGGCATGCTCTTCGCACGATTCGAGGCCACACACGGGGCCCCACCGAAGGTCCGCATGCCAGCGTTCGCATGTGCACGCCGCACCGGTTTGACGCATCCGTCACACGCTTCGTTGCCCCATAGGGTGTCCCACCGACGGCGCCAGTGGCTTCGCTCGCATGCGCCCGCCGCGCCCATGTTGGCCCACCCCTCACACGCTTCGTGGCCCCACAAGGAGCCCCACCGATTGCCCCAGTGGCTGCGTTCGCATGCGCTCACCGCGCGCATTTTGGCACACCACTCATACGATTCGCAGCCCCATAGGGAGCTCTACCGACGGCATCAATGGCTGTCCCTCGCACGGTTCGTGGTCCCACATGGGGCCCCACCGAAGGTGCATGTCAGCGCTCGCATGCGCCCATCGCGCTCATTTGGGTAAACCATCGAACGTTTCGCGGCCCCATCCGTAGCTCCACCGACGGCCCCAGCGGCTGCGGTTGCATGTGGGCACCGCACCCACATGTGGCACGCCCATGGCACGTTGCGTTGCCGCACAAAGAACTCCACCGACCATCCCAGTGGTTGCGTTCGCATGCGCCCACCGCACCATTTTGACGCACCCCTTCACACGCTTCGCAGCCCCATCGAGAGCGCCACCGACGGCACCAACGGCTGCGTTCGCATGCGCCCACCGCGTTCATTTTGGCACACCCCTCACACGTCTCGTGGCCCTGCAGGGAGCCCCGCCGCAAATTCACGCGCCAGCGTTCGCATGCGCCCACCGTGCCCCGTAGGGAACCCCACGGGCGGCCCAACGGCCAGAGCTCGCACGCGCCAGCCGCGCTCACTTTGGCACGCCCGCGCACGTATCGCATCCCCAAAAGGAGCTCCACAGACGGCTCCAGTGGCTGCACTAACATGCGCGCACCGCGCCCAGAGAGCAGAGAGAGAGAGAGAGAGAGACAGAGACAGAGAGAGCAGAGAGAGCAGAGAGGGAGGCAGCTCAGTCACACTTAAATCCAGATTCGTCCTCACCGAGTCCCACCACCAAGGGAGCGCCAGCAAGGAGATGCACATATGGGGATCCCCACGCAGTGAATAATTTGTGCTTCTGCTCTTGCTTGTTCCCCTGAAGAGGGTCCGAAGAAGTTCCCCGAGAGGTACCACGGAGGCACTTGCAGCAAAGTTCTGGCGATTCTTGAGCGATCTTCACGTTCTCGCCCGTCGGGATCCCAGAGCGCCCTGGACGACCGAACGGACCCCCACGATCGCCCGAAGGCGGCCCCGAAGAGCCCGACGAGGGCCCCAAGGCGGCTCACGATGGGGAGAGGCTCCCTCCGTAGCGATTTTGGCTCAAGCTCAGACTCGAGGCAGCCGCAGAGCGGCTCCCGACAGGGACACACCGACCGAGAGAACCCACTGGGAACATGGCGCGCCTCGCTCTGGCGCTCCTGCTTCTGCTGTCCACGCGGGCGCTGGCGGACGAGAATTGCGTCGCCGACGGCGCGTGCCAGGATGACGAGGCCGAGACGTCCGCTCTGCTGCAGGCCAAGGTGGCCGGGAGCAGCGACGAGAACGTCACCGCCGAGGCGCTCGGCTGCCAGAAGCAGATGCAGAAGTGCGGCGTGTGGAAGGGGATGGGCCTGGGCTCCTGCTGCAAAGGTTTCTCGTGCTGTGAGGCAACGCTTGTAAAATCAGCGCCTCCCGTATGCAGAGAGAAGTGCCTTAAGGGAGGGAACAGCGCCGACAGCGGCGAGGGGAAGATTCCTGGAAAGAAAGGTAAAGGTCGCGGCGCTGCGTTGCTGCAGGCCGAGGCGACCGATGCATTCGACCTTGCCGAGGCCGCCGAGGCCGGGGCAAAGTCGTCCAGCGTGGCCGAGGCTGCTGAGGCAAGTTATGAGGCGGACGAGGCCTCCGCCAGGGAGGCAGACGAGGCGGGAGAGGCGGACGCGGCCGAGACTGCTGATGCAGCTGACGAGGCGGGCGAGGGGTCAGACGAGACGGCGGGCGAGGCGGACGAGGCGGACGAGGTGGGCGAGCAATCGGACGAGGTGGGCGAGGAGCAGCAGCAGTACGAGGCCTACGACGACGGGGCAAACGAGGACGAGTACTACTCGGACGAGGCGGACGAGGAGCAGCAGCAATACGAGGCCTCCGTCGACGGGGCAAACGATACGGACGAGGCCTCGGACGAGGCGGAAACTGACCAAGCAGCCGACGAGCCCATGGTAGAGGAGTAGGCTTAGATGGTGGTCGCCCTGGAGTTTGGGGCCACTGGTGCCGCTCCGCTCCTTTTTCGCATGTTTTCTTCAGGCCGCCAGACTTCGGAGGTTCGCCATCGGCGGCGAGGGGGCCTGGCTGCCCCGCGGCTGCGCGGGCGCGATGCGCCGGCTGTCGTGGCCGCGGGCGCGGCGCGGGCTGCATCTCTCTGCGTGCGGTTGACGAACTCTGTTCCCGGGCTGTCCAGGCCAGCCAGCAGTTCAGGTCTTCTTTATTGCTGTCGCCTGAGCCGCTGTAGATATCGCCTCCTGGGATCTCACGCCAAGAAGAACAGGATGGGGAAGGGCTCCTAAGGCTCCTCGGTTCCCCCCTCCTCCGGGGCTGAAAACATTGAAATATACAGATTTTCCAGCGGGCTTGGATCTCGGGAAGGGAAGCCCGACGCAACCCCGGGAAGTCCAGTAATTTTGTGTCTGGCCTTGAGTAGTTGCAGTGGTCAATGTAGGCAGCTGCGCCTCGCCCAGAGCGTTCCGGGGGCGACGAGCAACGTTTGCTTAGAGCGTCACGCCGCCGGCTTGGTCCCAGCACGCTTCGGCGCGATCCCATTCCCAAGCGTGAACAGAGCTTCTCCTAGCCTCCCGCCCCGCGGAGACATCAGCTTGCATAGCCCAGCGCGTCGCAGAGGCCGCCAACGCTGTGCCCCCCCCCCTGTCGCCGCACCTGGCGCGCCCCGCGCGCCAGGGAGGGGTTCCAGCTCCGATCCAGGAAATCCGTTCCGAGCTCTGAGAGTGACTTGTCGTGCCGTTTTCTCTTCTATCCCTTGATCCACGGCCAGGTGTATGTTTTCCCCAAGCCTCCTGCGTTGGGTTCTCGTTTTGCATAGACCACTGCGGTCTCGACCTCCTCTTCCTCTTCCTCTTCTCCTCCTTCTCTCCCGCCTCCTCCTCCTCCTCCTCCTGCTCCTCCTCCTCCTCCTCCTCCGCCTCCTCCTCCTCCTCCTCCTGCTCCTCCTCCCACCTCCCTTCTACCTTCTCTTCCTTTAGCCTCCTGCCTCCTACTTCCTGCCTATTTCGCCATCCTTGCCTCCTACCTGCCTCCTACCTCGCCATCCCTGCCAGGGGCTTCGAAGTGTGAGTCACTTTCGAGGGCTGCTGGGGGGACCAGCATAGTCGGGGCCTGCGCGGATGCGGTTTGGACCTCACCATCAGACCTCCTTCGTTATCCCTGGAGGGATGCGATCTGCGAAACTGTCGCCGCTTTCGAGGGCTGCCGGCAGGTCCAGCGAAGTTGGGGAGCTACGCAGATTCAGATTCGACCTCGCCATCCCTTGCGGGTCGTACGCAGATTTGGATTGGACTTCGCAATCCCTGGGGGGCTGCGAAGTGCGAATCTGTCGCCGCTTTCGAGGGCTGCTGGGGAGCCCAGCATGCGGTGATTCATATGAGACCTCGCCATCCATGCGCCACTGCGAACTGCGGAACGGTCGCCACTTTCGAGGGCCGCTGGGATGGCCAGCATCGTCGGGTCTCACTTGGATTCAAATTAGAGTTCCCCATCCCTTGGGGGCTGCGAGCTGCGAAGATGTCGCACTTTCGAGGGCTGCTGGGGCGGGGTGGGAAGCACAGTCGACCCTGCGCGGATTCACTTTCGACCTCGCCATCCCCGGGGGGCTACGTAGTGTGAAGCTGTCGCCGCTGCCGAGGGCTGCTGGGAGGGCCAGCGTTGTCGGGTCTTACGCAGAGTCATATTTGACGTCCCCATCCCTTGGGGTTGCGAAGAGAGAAAAAGTCGTCACTTTCGAGGGCTGCTTGGGGGGCCAGCGGGGTGACGTTATATGCGGGCTGGGATTCGCCCTCGCCATCCCCGGGGGGCTACGTAGTGTGAAACAGTCGCCACTTTCGAGGGCTGCGGGTGTGTGTGTGGGGGGGCAGCGGAGTGACGTCATACACGAAGACTCGAATTAGCCCTCGCCATCCCTGGAGGGCTGCGAAGTGTGAACTTGTCGCCACTTTCGAGGGAGAGGACCAGCGGAGTGACGTCATACGCTGATTGAGATTGGACCTCGCCATCCCTTGGGGGCGGCGGGATGCGAAACTGTCGCCACTTTCGGGGGCTGCTGGGGGGCCAGCGGAGTGACGTCATACGTGGCCTGAGATTAGACCTCGCCATGCCTGGGGGGCTGCGAATTGTGAATCACTCGCCGATTCCGAGGGCTGCTGGGGAGGCCAGCGGAGTGACGTCATACGCGGACTCGGCTAAGGCCTCGCCATCCCTGGGGGGCTGGGAACTGCGAAACGGTCGACACTTTCGAGGGTTGGTTGTCAAGAGCCCAGCGGAGTGACGTCATACGCAGACTCTGGTCAGACCTCGCCATCCTTGCGGGGCTGCGAAGTGTGAAACTGTCGCCAGTTTCGAGGGCTGCTTGGCGGACCAGCGAAATGACGTCTTAGTATCGCAATCATTGGAGGCTGCGAACTGCCAAGCTGTCCGCCACTTGTGAGGACTGCTGAGGGGGCCAGCTAAGCACGGTGCTGTGCTGATCAGAGCGGGACCTTGCCATCTCTGGGGGGTTGCGCGGCCTGCGAAATTGCCGCCACATTTGTGGACTCCTTTAGAGGCTTGTTCAGCGCGGTGCTACGCAGATCAGAGCTGGACCTTGCCATCCTTGCTGGGCCTCCCTCGTTGTCCTTGGTGGCCGTCCCATGAGTCGAGCAACGCGCGCGCGCATGTTAGGTAGCTTGCGCAACGAAGGACGGTTTCCGCGCTATCAGCATCCGTACCATTTTGGGCCAGCTCCTTGAGCCACTGGATGCACATTGGCTGGGTACGTCTAGAACGGTAATGTCGATCCCTGCGCTTCTTCCTCGATCCCGGTCCCTGGGGCTGGTCTCCCTCTTCTCGGGAAAAAGGGAGGAGGAGGACGAGGAGGAGGAGGACGAGGAGGAGGAGGAGGAGGAGGAGGAGGAGGAAAAGGTATGGAGGATAGCGCAGAGGAGTGGAGAGGAGGAGGGGGATTGGGAAGAGGAGCAAGGCGAGCTGGAAGAGGAGGGCGAGCGGGAGAAGGAAGCAGCAGCAGGAACATGAGGATTGCGGGCGAATGGAGAGGGAGTAGCGCGAGGAGGGAGGAGGGGAGGGGGGGAGGGCGATGACGAGGCACAGTTAGGAGGATGAGGAGGAGGTAGGAGAATGAGGAGGAGGAGGAGGAGGAGGAGGAAGAGGAGGAGGAGGAAGAGGAGGAGGGGGATGGAGAGGAGGCTGAGGAGGACCAAGAGGAGTGGAGAATGGTCGCACGGAAAGATCACAAAACACCCGAGCAGGCGGAACACATGCACCACACGACCGAACACCGAGCTTTTCTCCTCGATCTGTTTGGAGGAGCAACGGAGGTACCGAAGAAGCCGGGCGTCCTGGTGAACATGTTTCTTTTTTGGGGGGGGACATCGCCGCCGGAAAACTCTCAGAACGGAAGAGGCGGGAGGGCCACTGACAACGGCCAGGGGAGCCCACCAACAACGGCCAGGGGCCCCACTGACAGCGGCCAGGAGGGGCCGTTGACAGCGGCCAGGGGGGGGGGGTCACGGATGACCGCCAGGGGGTCCCTCTGACAGCGCCAGGAGGGGTTTTGACTGACAACGGCCAGGGGGGCCACGGACAATGGCCCGGGGCCCCACTGACCACGGCCCGGTTCTCCGTCGATATAGTCGGTCGTCAGTCGAGTCGTCAGTCGAGTTGTCAGTCGGTTGTCAGTCGAGTTGTCAGTCGGTTGTCAATTGGCAGTCGGTCGAGTTGTCAGTCAGTTATCGGTCGATTGTCGGCTGGTTGTGAGTCGGCTGTCAGTCGGTTGTCAGTCGAGTTGTCGGTCGGTTGTCGGTGGGTTGTCGGTGGGTTGTCAGTCCAGGCCTTTCCTCCCTGTCTCGCCAACTCCAAAACCATGCACGGTTTTGGTTGTCTGCGAGACAGGGGGGCGACGGGCCCCCCAGCGGGGCCCGGCTGACAACAGCCAGGGGGGTCATCACTGACAGCGGCCAGGGGCCCCACTGACAGCGGCCATGGGGGGACACTGACAACGGCCAGGGGTGTGGACTGACAACAGCCAGGGGGGGGCCACTGACAACTGCCAGGGTAATGCTGACAACGGCCACGGGGCTGAACTGACAGCGCCGTTGGGCGGGCCTCTGGCCGTTTTCATTGGCCCCCATGGCCTTCGTCAGTGGCCACCGTGGCCGCTGTCTGTGGCCCCCTCTGGCCGTTATCAGTCCCCCTCCCCTGCCGTTGTCAGTGGTCCCCCTGGCCGTTGTCAGTGACCCGCACTGGCCGTTGTCTGACCTCCCTGGCTGTTATCAGTGGCACCCCTGGCCGTTGTCAGTGGTCCCCCCTGGGCGTTGTCAGTCCCCCCCCTGGCGTTATCAGTGGGCTTCCCTTTTCGTATGTTTTCATGTTATCCGCAGGCTGGCCAGAACATGTCAAAAGATACACACAGGAAGTAAGAGGAGGAGGAGGAGGAGCAGGAGGGGGAGGAGGAGGAGGAGGAGAGGAGGAGGGAGGAAGGAGGAGAGGAGGAGGATGAGGAGGAGGAGAGAGAGGAGGAAGGAGGAGGAGGAGGAGGAGGAGAGGAGGAGGAGGAGGAGGAGGAGGAGGAGGAGGAGGAGGAGGAGGGAGAAGGAGGAGGGAGGAGGAGGAGGAGGAGGAGGAGGAGGAGGAGGAGGAGGAGGAGGAGGAGGAGGAGGAGGATATAGTGTGATACAGCGGTTTGCAGACGGAGGCGAGCATCTCGACACCGCCTTGCAAGAAGACCCACTTTCAGTCCCTCCCATGTCCCCCCCCAGCCCGCCTCGCGACCAACCCGCGACATGCCTTGAGGGTTGCCGGGCGGGCAAACCGATTGGTTCGAGGATTTGGGGAAAGTTGTGCAGGAAAATGGTTTCCTGGGTTTCCTTGGACTGCTTCGAAGATGTGCTTAACATTGGTTTGGATTTCGTGCTTCGTTTTGGGGGCATCGGGATCCATCGTTGCACCGCGGGCGCAAGCCTGTGCAATTTTCCCCAAACCCTTTCACCAATCGGCCGCCTCCTACTTTGATGCTCACGACTGTATGCTTGAAGACTCGGACTTTGGATCCGCCCCTTCCCCAATGGTTGCCACCGTAGCCTTGGGTAGGGCACGGGGCAGTAAGCGCGACAGACTGGCGCTTCCGATTCGGGGGGTCAAACCCGTAGCGAAAGCTGAAGATATGTTACGAGCTGTTGGCGACCATGGTTGTCGACGCGTTGGGGGGTCGGATCTTGGCCCCGCTCCCCGCTGTAGGAGTCCATGGGGCGACAGGGGGTGACTTCGACCCAAGGTGCATCCAGGTGCCAAGCGCGACAACC